AAAGGCCAGGGACACTGTGCTTTATGATCTTAGTCCTTCATTGGGTTTGACCATCCTGGTTCCCCTTCTAACTGAAAAAAAAAAAAAAAAATCAGTCTATTTATCTTGTCTGTATTTTATCCCTTTGTCATATCCTTGAGCAGGAGGTCAGTGGTCTCAGGCCAGGGTCCCAATAGTAGAGACGGAGGTAAACTCTGTGTTGGAGCTGGGCATACCTCTTCTTAGGAGAGACTTGGGAATGAGCTCGTTTTCTCAGAAAGTGAGCTGAATGTGGGATTGTCCCTAAAACCAATACCTTGTGATACTTTCAGCTTTTGGGTCCTTGTCAAGGACACACTTGGTTCTAAAGCTCTCTCACTCAGAGAAGCCCAAAGCTATCAACTCCCATCAGGTATTCATAGTTCTTCCTAGTCCAGACTCAGCTAACCCAGTATATATTATTTTATCAAAGTACCAAGTTATCAGAGCAAGGTTGCCTGATGATACTACAGACATCCCACCCTCATTAGCTTTCCAGGGAATTGAGTGAGAAACTGCTTAATCTAAGGTCACTTTCTTTTCTGTTTTTCAGACAGGGTTGTACTCTGTTGCCCAGACTGCCCTCAAACTCGAAATCCTCCCACCTCAGACTCTGAAGTAACTAAGGTTACAGGTACATGACACTGTGAAATGGTTTTATTAAACTTTTTCTCATGATCATTGTGAATCTCAAACTCAGTGTTTTACTTCCAAAAACAGTACTAGCAGCAAATAGAAATGGATGTGGTCAAATCCTTAAGTATCATGAAGTAGCTTTTTTAGAAATAAGTAAATAGTCTAAAAGTTGCCTTCACAGAGAAAAAAAATTTCTCCTTCACATTTGTCTTAGTTACTTTCCTTGTTGCTAAGACAAAATATCCAATACCCAAGGTTAAAGGAGGAAAGATTTATTTAGCTCATCGTTTGCACAGGTGTCAGTCCATAATTGGTTGGTACCACGGTAGGGGGGAATGGCAGAGGAGAACACTCATGGTGGGCAGAAAGCAGCAAGCAACAAGGTGGGAAGCAAGACTCTTTTTGTCCCTTATACTGTATGTAGGCAACCTGCCCTAGTTTGGGTGTAGCACTCACAATTTTAATCCTAGCCAGAATTATGCCAAAACACAGTGGGCTGATTTACTAATCACACACCCTTAATCCCAGCATCACACACTCTAGAGTCAGCCACCTCTGAAAAAGCTCTATGACTGCATGACACTTTGGGGAGACATCTTTAGACACAAACCATAACAACATTATCATCCTTAAGATTGTTATTAGGCATAAACTGCTAAGAAGAAAGGATAAAGGCTCTGCCTAAGTTCTGGAGAGTTTCTTTGAGAGCTAGGATCAGAGCAGGGACTGCCTTCCTTAATCCCCGGTGTCTCTGCATTCTCAAGCATCTTACCAAAGCATATATTAATTCTTGAGCTATAAACCACAATCTGTCCAGTCATCAAAGATCATGTGACTTACCAAAGATGAAGAGGTAACTTGTGTTGGATACCCTTCGGCAGTGATTTGTTTCATGATTTTATTTACACTAACACTTCTCAATTTGGGGGAGGGGTACTGGGATTGAACCCAGGGTCTCATGTATGCAAGACAAGCAAGTACTCTACCACTAAGAAACCTCTCAACTCTATATTTCTTAATTTTAAAAGAGGAGCTTATAGCAATTAAACTCACAGTTAACAAAAACATGGAGCCAGAAAAGAAAAACTTGAGAAGCAGCTTGAGGATGTTCTCATATATCCTAATATTAAACGTCTATGCCAGGGATATAGCTCAGTGGCACAGTGCCTGCCTGGCAAGTGTGAGGTCCAAAGTTCGATTCCGGACACCCCCCCTAAAAAAAGTGCCACTGAAAGTCTACATTGGACTACCCATTCATAACATTGAGAACTTAAAAACCTGCCTTAAAATGTCAAGTCGCTAGTGAAGAAATAAACATGCTGGTAGGAAATGGTACTTCTATATCATCTTTACTGTACTGATGGCAATTTTACCCAAATGCCTACTGTTGTTAATGACACTTATGTGAAGCTGATCAATATAAGTTTAGGAAAATGATGAAAGTGTTCATGGCAAAATACTCTGCTATAGCTACAACCCTGAGTATACAGTAAAGCCAGTGAATCCACGAACATGAATTAACCTGACAGCAAAGAGTTTTAATTTTTATTTCTGTTTATCAGTAATCATTAAACAGTAATGATATGGAGCAGACCACTGACCAAGTTTGCAATAGTGTGATCAACTCTAGTTAAATTCACAGGTAACTGTGAAGTTTCCAGAGTATTCAGCAGTAGACACATCCTCTGTGTGTAGTATTGAATTATAGGCCAGGTAGATCCTGAAGTTGATTTAATTCAGTACCTAACAACTACATAAGACTCTATTGGAATGAAAAAAAGATTTACTTACTTTAGTAAACTCTCTTACAAGAAGGGATAAAAATTTTTTAAATATCTGAAATCTGATCAGAAACTATGCACACATCCATGAATTACTGCCACCAAAAAGCACACAGGAGGTTTTTGTGTAGGGGCCACTCACTTTCTCCCTCTCTCTCTCACCCCAACCTGGTACAGCCTCTTTTTAAAGCCCCGAGAGAGAGGCTTCCAGACCCCAGGCAGAAGCCTGGCCAATTCTTACCTGAGGGCATGGATCAGTTCAAGAAATACAATTTAATAATACTGACATCAGAAGTCTCCTAAGGATTAATAGAAGTTTTATAAAAAGGAAGTAGCAGGGCAGAAATCGTATTTGTAACTAAGTGTGAATCTCTAGACAAAAGGATCTTCCAAACATTCAATAAAATAACTAAAGTACAGCAAATCATGAAATTTCAAGAGACCAGGGAAGTTTCTTAGAGAGAGTGGGTCTTATATGTAAGGAAGAAAGACATTTTCAGGCAGAAATTAAAATATTTTAAAAATCTGTATTTCAAAATATCTAAGGCTGGTGGTGTACTTCAGTGGTACAGTGCTTGCACAGCTGTACAACAGCCTGAATTCAATCTCTAGCGCTGAAAAAAAAAAAATCTAGAAAACTTCAAATGTTTTCAGCATGAAGAAATGATAGCCAGGTATAGTGCTGCATGCCTATAATCTCAGCATTTTGGAGGCTGAGGCACGAGGACTGCCACAAGTTCGAGACCAGCCTGGGCTATGTAGTGAGTTCAAGGTCAGCCTGAACTACATAGTAAGACCCTGTCTAAAAACAAAAAACAGAAATGATAAATTTTTAAGGTGATGAATATGCAAATTACTCAAATTTGATCATTATACATTATAGGTATACTGAAATATAACACTGTACCCTACAAATATATACCATTATTTTGCATTAATTTTAAAAACCTGTCTCAGATCCCTTTTCTCAGAAAGTAGGTATTGTGTGTGCTCCATCAAGAAGAAGCAATAAACCAAAAAAGAGGAAGACACAGGAGCTGGGCTCAACCAAAGCAGAGTAGTACGATATTCCCAGGAAGTCACTGCAGTTCAGCAAGACAACCAGGGAACAATGGATCTGCAGGAAGCAGGTTCCCAAGGAGCAGACTGTTAACTGATCTGTTTTATCATTTTGAGAGTTTTAGGGTTTTGTCAGAAAATGTGTAGTTGGGTTCGTGACTGGATATTTGCATTACATAACCAAGAAAGAACTAGAATGTACAGGGTAACAGAATAATAAAGTATAGCATCAATAAGAAACAGATAAATAAATCAATAGAAAAACTGACAAAATTTAAACAGGCACTTCATAAATGAGGAAATCTATATAGCCAATAAATGTATGAAATACATTCATCCTCATCTATAGTCAAGGAATCATAATTAAAACTAAAAGCCATTACAAAATTGGCAAAATTATCAAAATTAGAATATAAAGCAATAGTAATTCTTCTACACCATGGGTTTGATTGGAAAATGGTAGTACTCAAAGGTAAACACTTTGGTATGATACACATCAGAAATTCTATTATTGAGTAGACATCCTAGAGAAAGGTATGTACATGTGCTTATTATTCAACTCATATTTATGCCTGTGTGGCAAATTTAATTATGAAATATTTTCTTAAATGTGAGTAACACAGAACAGGATGTAGGCAGTTCAGTTTATTCTGGTCTCGTAACACTGTGAATCACATTCACTATTCAAAAAATGTTCATGGAATCAAATTGATTTGGAAAACACTATTAAAGCAACTGAAAATTTAGCAAAAATCTTTTTGGAAAGGTCAGGAAGCAAAAGTTCATAGAGCTGTAAAAATTTTTCAACTACATTAGTAATTAGAGATATTAAAATAATGAAATGTCATTTTTACTATAAAAAGACAAATATTAAAATAACTTTAATGCTCAAGGTTGCAAAAGCATAGTGAGACTACTCTTTCCATAGGTCACTGTGGAAACATACAATTACATACAGATGCATAACTGTATAATGTTCTTGGAAAGCAATTTGGCAGACTGCTGAATCTTGAAAACAGACATCTTCTGCTGGTAAGAACTAGTAAGATTCTAGTTTTAAAGCTATACCAAAACATCATTTAAACATGTAAAATAAAACTTACAAACTTCTCATTAATTACAAACTGAGATAAAACACTAGAAATAATTAAAATGAATAACAATGGGATAATGGTTAAATATATTTTAGAAGATTTACAATATAGGTCAGACAGATATTAAAAAATGAGACTTTCAAAAAATTAATGATACTACAGAAAAATAGTGATGATCTAAATGTTAAGTAGAAAATTCAGAGCTGTATAAATCAAAGCATGGCCTCAATTCTATTAAACCTGTGTGTTTACTATAGAATGCAACAACTGTTACAACAAAGTGCATTGCAAATATAATACTGAAAGAAGGGACTCTTCCTGTTGTTGTACATGTTCCTATGAAGATTTGTTGAACTTTTTCTGCTTTAGTACTCTAAAAAGAATCACAGTAAGCACCTCCATTTATACTTACCAGATCAATATTTTGCATTATATCCTCAAATGAAGGATGAGTTCGAAACTGTTCAAAGAGATCCCGTTTGTAAAGCAGTGCATACACCAAGTTTGGGTTGTGGTGAAGAGAATTTGTCAGGCAGGAGTTGATGATTTCTAACATCATTCGAATCACTTCTTCAATAACATTGAGATCCTGTGCCTTAAGGAGGAAGGAAATCCCAACACAGAGTCAGTGTTTTTCTCCTTGCTATAGAAGTAACCAAAATAAGAGTAACTGCTTTCCAACACCATTGGAAAAATCACTCAGGAATATTATTTCAGTGAAGAAGCTTTAAAGTTAGGTTTATCAGTTGCTAAAGGATATGAGTTAAACATTGTTTGAACTCAGTATGATGACAATTAGAAATCTCACATAATAAATTACAGATTTGCCAATCAAGAGGAAAATTTGGAACTTTGCTCCTCACTTGACACCCTTATTTGCATTCTCACCCTAAAATCACTAGATTTTCACAATTTGAAGTTGTAGTGGTAGAGGCTTAGTATTTCCCAGACAAATACTTACTTCAGAAAATGACTTTAGCCAGGTGTGGTGGTGCACGCCTGTAATCCCAGCACTCGGGAGGCTGAGGCAGGAGGATCATTTTGAGTTCGAGACCAGCCTGGGCTACACAGTGAGCTCAAGGCCAGCCTGAACTGCATAGCAAGACCCTGTCTCAAAAAACTTTTGTTCTGTATGCTGTCATCTCAATCTTCATATTTATAGATAAACAGCCTATCGTTTTGCCACTGTTTCAATTAATTGCCTTTGGGAATCTGAGCATAAAATGATTATCAAACAGCAAAACACAAAGCAATCAATCAGCAAGCGTTTCAAGCGCTTCAGTGAAAAAAAGTGTTTCAGTGAAAGATTAGCCCATTTCCCAGTTCCTAGCAGGGCACTGAGGTACAAGTGTGCTGCCTCTCATCTGGGGACCTCACCCTATGAGTAGCTGAACTCCCAGTCACTTCTGCTTCCCTTTAGACCAGAGGTTCTGCAGGCTCCGTGGCAGACTCTGCTCCTTGCTCTGACTGCTTATTCTGTTTCTGGTCAATTAAGAAATACTGATCTCATCTCTGGGTGTACCTATATATTTTAAACATTTTCTTGTTATGGGGTTCATCTACTACTATTATATTTTTAGAGTAAAAGGGAGATCGGGCTTCAAATTTGGAGCTGACAGAATAATCTCAACTAGTTTTCTCAACTATGTTTTCTTTTTCTCTTTTTTTTTAATATCTCACTTGGTGTTTGTTATGGCTTATATCCAGATATGCCTCAATACCTCGCGTGTCATAGGTGGGGCTTTTGGGAGTGATTGGATCATGGGTGTGATACTGGATTAGTCCACTGATTGTTTTAACATAGTTGTAGGAGTGGATGGTGGATTTACTGAAGAGGGAAGACCCACCCTGGGTGTGAGTGGCATCAACCAATAGGCTTGTAGCCTGGATAGAATAAAAAGGAAAAGAAGTGAGTTGTGCAGCTTTCTATCTGCCATTTGATGAACTCTTTCTGCTCTGCCCTGCCCCTCTGCCTTGGAACCAGCCAACTAGGGACTGAAACCTCTACAAATTGTGAGCTAAAATAAACCTTTCCTTCTTTAATTTGTCCCAGCAATGAGAAAGTAACCAAGACACTGTTTAATTACTAGAGGAGGAGGATACTTCTGAGTTCCAGAATTTTCTCTCAAATCATTTATTTTTATTTTTAAGTTATAGGATTTATTTATTTTTTATTTTAAAGAGAGTAGTAAATGAGAAACAAACAAAAAAATAGAACAGTAGCAGCATACCAGTATCACAAACATAAACAAATCAAGGCAAGAACATTCAAAGTGATACAGGGTCTCAAGACAAAATAATACAAATCAACAGTGGTTGTTACATTGCATATCGCTATCCTCAACTACACTGCTCAGATTACCAGATATAAGAATGATAGATTGCTCAAACCATTAAAGAGAATAAGAAAATAATTCTTAGATAAAATATTAGAGATAATACAGAGTATCACTAGACAAGATGGTAGAAGTTCACCACTGTAATTCTATTGCATATTGTTACCTTCAAATCAGTTGCTCAGACCACCAGACACAAGCATGCAAAGTAGATCAGAACATAAAGAATTGTAAGCAGTGACTGTTTATTTCAATACACCATCAGACATTGGCAATATAGTTATTGCAGCTATTCATATTTATATTTATGTTTTGCCTTCCTTCTTTCTTTTTTCTTTCCCTCATCCCAGTCGTTCCTTCCTTTGAGCAATTTCTTTCCCTCTCGTACCATCTATTGTACATTTTGAGTTTTACCTAGTCTTTCAGGTTCCTACACCAAGAAGACAATATGCTGTTTACACATGTGGGTCCGATTTATTTCACTTACGAGTATGGTCTCTAGTTGCATCCATTTACCTACAAAAACCTCGAGTTTATCTTTTTTAATACCTGAGTAATACTCCATTGTATAAAAATGCCACAACTTTTTTATTCATTCCTCAGTGGCTGGGCATCTGGGCTGTTTCCAAGATTTAGCTATAACAAACTGTGCTGCTACAAACATGGGTGCACATATATCGCTGTGGTATGATATCTTTAATTCTTCTGGGAAAATACCCAGAAGGGGAATAGCTGGGTTAAATGGGACTTCTAACCCTAGTTTTGTGAGTAATCTCCAAGTTGATTTCCACAGTGGTTTCACCAATCTACACTTCCACCAGCAGTGGAGTAGGGTTCCTTTCTCCCCACAGCCTCTCCAGCATTTGTTATTGTTGATTTCTTGATGATAGCCATTCTTTCTGGGGTGAGATGGAATCTCAGTGTTGTTTTAATTTGCTTCTCTCAAATGACCAGTGATGGTGAACATTTTTTCATATATTTATTTGCCATCAGTAGCTCTTCATTAGAGAAGTGTGTATTCACCTCAGATGACCACTTTTGGATTGGGTCTTTGAATTTGGGGGGCCTGATTTTTTTTAATTCTTTATATGTCCCAGATAGAAGTCCTTTGTCTGAGAGACAGTTGGCTAAAATTTTTCCCCAATTTGTGGGTTTTCTTTTTACTCTCCTGGTGATTTCTTTAGATGTGCAGAAACTTTTCAGTAGGATGAGATCCCATTTTTCATTCTTTGAAGTATTTCCCGTGCAGCTTGGTTTTTATTCATGAACTCTCTGCCTACCCCAGTGTCATCAAGGTTTTTTACCTACTTTCTCTTCCAATAAATTTAGTGTTTCTGTTTTAATATTTAGATCTTTGATCCATTTTGACTTTAATTTAGTGCATGGTGAAAGACATGGGTCTAGTTTTGGTCTTCGGCATGTGGAAAGCCAGTTTTTCCAGCAGCATTTATTAAAGAGGCTATCTTCTCAAGTCATTTAAAAACAACTCAATGTCATAGTAAGAATACTTAAATGAGCCAAATTACTAGCTTTCTGTATAATTTTATGTTAATACTTCACACACTTACTTATGTTTTAAAATTTTACTTTCAAGATTATCTGCTGATAGCTTACAAACTCTGCTTTCAAACATAGTGAGTTTATTAGCAATATTTAAATAATTTGCTGAAACAAACAAGGTAACATACCCAACTCTCAAATATGACCTGCTTATTTAAACCCAAGTTAAAATAGTGGTTGTTTATTTTATTCTAAGTCAGGAAAGCATAAACTAGAAAGTTTAAATTATTAAACATGCTCTGCATTAGTTTTCACTTTGCATCAATCTGACTAAAAGCTGTTTAAGAATTATAATAACTTTTATAGTTAAAGGAGCTACTAGGCATTTTTTCTAACTTCTAGATTATATCTCTGATAAAGTCTAATACTATCTTTTATAGACTATATTCAGCTGCAGACATATAAATTAATGACAGGAACATAGTTTCTACCATTACTCAAACTGACAAAATATAATGCAAGAAGATATAGAAAAGATATATGACATTAAATTTCACTGGATAATAATGTAATGATAAATGTAATGAATAATGCAATGATAATGTAATGACAAAAAACATCTTATATATTTTTGTTATAAAATAATGAAATAAAAATGAGAAATTATATACAATTTAAAAGTTAGAAAGTAGCTGATTATAATATTCAGTCAATATCTACCTTAACATGTAATACTTTCAATAATTTAAACAATTCAAATTTCAAGCTAAAGACTCTCCAAACCTCAGCACAACTACCCTTTTGATAAGTTTTGTTTTCTTCCTGGTTATACTCAGGGGTGAAATTCGAAATGTTTAACAACTAGAGAGCACTGTTAATCCTGTTGGATGTGGGTCTACATAACTCAAGCAGCTCTACCAGTTAACACCACGTTATGGCTTGTATCTGGATGTCTAATGAAAGCCTCTTGTGGTCATAGGTGGGGCTTTTCAGAAGTGGCTAGATCTAGGGGCTGGGGATTTAGCTCAGCGGCAAAAAGCGCCTGCCTGGCAAGCGCAAGGTCGTGAGTTCGGTTCCTGGTACCGGAGAAAAAACAAAAACAAAAACAAACAAACAAACAGAAGTGGCTAGATCTAGCTGTGTGACACTGGGATTCAGGGTGTGTGGTACAGGATTAGTTCACTAACTGGTTTATCAAATTCTGGGTTTGAATAATGGAAAAGGCCCACTGTAGCTGTTGGTAATAAAACCCAAAAGGCTTGTAGCCTGGATGGAATAAAAGGAAAAGGGAGGCTTGTTGCTTCCTGCCTTCCTCCATGTGGACTGCTTCTCTTCTGCCATGTAGCCCTGCCCTGGAGCAACCTGACTATCTAGTGAAACCTTTACAAACTCTGAGGTAAAATAAACCTTGCTTCCTTTAACTTGTGGGTCTCGGGAATTTTGTTGCAACAACAAGGAGGTAACTAAGACATACCCGCTGGATGTGTCAATTACAGTTATTTGCATAAGTGCTCTCAAAGGAACTATTTCTTGAGCAATAAAATGAGGTTTCCTTGAAGTCAGGTATGAATACTGATTGGTTTTTATGATGTTCTAAAAAACTATACCAAGAGTTACTACATACTCCATTTTATTCAATTCAGTAATGCTTTAGCTTAATATTGAGAAAGCCTGGAATTTAATCAAAGAATCATAAAATCATGAAGCACACTCAGAAGTTACACTAGATGCCACCTCCATGAGTACTAGAACCCCTTTC